GTTTGTTTGTTTGTTTGTTTGTTTGTTTGTTTGTTTGTTTGTTTGTTTGTTTGTTTGTTTGTTTGTTTGTTTGTTTGTTTGTTTGTTTGTTTGAGTATGACTCAAACTCCCAGGCAACACTTGCTTCACGTTTTCAATAATAAGGTAGTAAAAGATACAGCAGCTCGTGTGGAGGGTCGAAGGTTTTAAAAGGTTTTGTGTGGTTCAGAACACCGGGCCCTGCATCCTCAGTCAACTTCCTTTACAACCTTTCTTCTGTTTAGTTTCACTGAAAGGGAAAGSTTTCGCTGACAATCTGGCATCAAGATTCGGGAAGACTGAAGAACCTTTAACTGACTGCTTCATTCATTTTGCAGATTTGTTCACTTTGTACCTGGACTCTCATGCGTGAAAAAATGAATTTTCTGTAATGGGTCATGAATGAATAGGAGAATACATGCATGTATGCATGTAAGCAAGGTTTTTCTGCTTGGCCTTCAGAGGAGTCGGACGCTTTTTGCTTTCTCTCCCAAACCTGTCCCTCCTTCCCTGCTTTGCAACTGTGTCAAGCCTTTTTCTTCTACCTATCATCCGAAAACAAAAGGARTTATGGATTTGGTSAACTGGTCTCTGAACGCAATGGACACTATTTTTTTCCACACTGAGGTTGGAGCGAGGGGAGTGCAGCTGTCCGAGTGGAACTGTTGCGGCAGATGGAGTTTTGGGGTCCTGGGGGTGGAACCTTGTCTGCCTGGCCCCGCTTTCCATCGAGGACGTTGAAGATTTGTTTATATTTGGATTCATGATAATCGGATTCCTGCTGATCGKCTGTGGAGGAGTCCTGGTTTATCRGAAAATGAAAACGATCCTGACAGCAGTCCAGGAATGTCAAAAGTTGTCAGGGACCGTRGATGGGATCTCCAGTATTGGAAATGCACAGACTCAGATGCTGGGGGATATAAGTCTCAAACTGGATGTGATTCTGACGAGAATCACAGCTCAGCAGCGTGCCCGTGAGGACTGAGGTTACACCTGGGTGAAGTTTCACATGGTGAGAGGCGAGGAGGTAAATGGATCTGGAATATTGGCATTTTTCGCAACACAGAGGCACAGTTAAGACTCAAAGCAGAGAAATTAGCCTGCTTGACACTAAATAACAATAATGTTTATCACTGGATCCCTGCAGCTGGTGATCTTACTTTCAAGCTAGAAAAACCTCCCTGGATGACACGTGAGGAAAAAAGCCTTGACCCCCCTCCCCCCCTACTCACTTCACCCATGGTTGGATCTGTCTGAAGGTTGGGTGGATACAGAGAACTGACTCTGGTGATTTTGTGCTTTGAGAACAACTTTTTTTGGACTCTGGAGGTCTTCTGATTGGTTCCAACATGGAGTACTATCCTGGACTGTCACCGGCTCCGCTGAACCCCTCCCCATGCCATGTGTTCTGACCCCCCACCCCCCTCCCCTCCTTAGCTGCCTTGCACTGTGTGCAGAGTAGTTTTTTTGAGCGCATGTTTGTGTGTTTCTGTATAAAACACAAGATCAGAGCTCTTTTTTTAAACTCACCTCTCCTATTGTGTGTGTATTCTAAGCTGCAGAAGGTAGTGCACCATAGTGTGAAAGACCGTGGACATTCGTTCCCCCATGTTTGTCGTGTGTGTGTGTGTGTGTGTGTGTGTGTGTGTGTGTGCATGTGTTCTGACCCCCCACCCCCCTCCCCTCCTTAGCTGCCTTGCACTGTATGCAGAGTAGTTTTTTTGAGCTCATGTTTGTGTGTTTCTGTATGAAACACAAGATCRGAGCTCTTTTTTTAAACTCACCTCTCCTATTGTGTGTGTATTCTAAGCTGCAGAAGGTAGTGCACCATAGTGTGAAAGACCGTGGACATTCGTTCCCCCATTGTGTGTGTGTGTGTGTGTGTGTGTGTGTGTGTGTGTGTGTGTGTGTGTGTGTGTGTGTGTGTGTGTGTGTGTGTGTGTGTGTGTGTGTGTGTTTCTCCGGACGGATGTTCTAAACTGCAAATTTCGTTCTGCATTGCATCTTGATGTGTGTGAATGACAATAAATGAATCTGAAATCTGAAAAAAAAAGTATGCATGGATGGATGGATGGATGGATGGATGGATGGATGGATGGATGGATGGATGGATGGATGGATGGATGGATGGATGGATGCTGACCTCCTGATGAGGCTGTGTGTATTTGCAGGGAGTAAGAGCAGCCAAATGATGGCAGCACTCCTCTGACGCAGTTCCTCCAGACTCTCTGGATGTTTATAATTTCAAACAGCTGCAGCAAAATGCATCTTTAGCAGAATCTAAAATTAGTATTTTTTATTTTTTACATGTAGGACATTAAAGAAAATTAATTTTAGCTGGAAGATGGTGAGAGTTTTAGTGGTATGTGCAGGTTCTGTTGAGGAGGGGGGCTGGAGGAAAAAAGGAAACACAATGTTCCAGCTGGAGAGGAGGAATACCCACAGGTTTAAAAATAGGCCACAACAGCTCTTATATAACAACTGGGACGTCAGGGTTGTTTACAGTCTGGGCTGCTTTGCAAATCAATGGCTCCAGCGCTGCAGTTTATAAATCCAATCCAATTAATAATCCAAACATCCTGAACACACCTGCCAATCATTTTAAAAATACAAAAAACAAAAAAAATGTGTATTGACATGAAGCAAGCTGCTGTTTAGTTGTGAACATTTAAATAAAAGGTATTTTAGAGGTTTTCTTGCTTTCGTTTTTCCCCTTCAATGAAATTGTTTTCAGTTAAAAGCGAAGGAGGCGGGTTTTGGCTTTCCTTCAATGATTTGCTTAGCCAATAGGGAGTGTCGTTGCAGGGTGATTGACAGGCACTCCCCCTGCAGGACGCCCCGCCCCTCCCGCTGTGACTCTGTGTTTTCGAAGCAGCAGCGTCACATGTTGTTTTTCTCCTGGAGGATCAGCGCAGCTCAGACTCAGCTCTGCAGCTTGTTTTTCCTATTTATTTCAGTTTTTTGTTTTTTCTTAAAAAAATCTGTGCGTCTATTCGTTTTTATTTAGAAAAAATACCTACTGAGCTGATCTGGACTTGAAATCGAGGCAGTAATGGCGAGTCCTCCGACGTCGGGAGGACACCTGTTATCCGGCGGGACGGCGGACGTGAAGAAGAGCGGCTACCTGCGGAAGCAGAAACACGGACACCGGCGCTTCTTCGTGCTCCGGGAGCACACGGAGCGCAGCCCGGCCCGACTCGAGTACTACGAGAGCGAGAAGAAGTGGAGGAATAGGTCCGCCGCCAAGCGGGTCGTCACCCTGGACTCGTGCCTGTGCGTCAACAAGCGGGCGGACGCCAAACACAAGTACCTGATCGCCCTTTACACCAAGGACGAGTACTTCGCCGTGGCTGCGGACACCGAGCTGGAGCAGGAGAGCTGGTTCTCGGTTCTGACCGAGCTGATTGCAGAGGGGAAGGTGTTCGACAGCCCCGCCTCCACCTCCTCCTTAGTGGGCTTTGAGGACTCCAGCTATGGACACCTTACTCCTGTAAGCACTGCCTACAAGGAGGTGTGGCAGGTCACCTTGAAGTCCAAAGGTCTGGGTCAGGTCAAGAACCTCACTGGGGTCTACAGGCTGTGCTTGTCCAGCAGAATCATCAGCTTCGTTAAGCTGAACTCAGAAACGGCGGCGGTCACGTTGCAGCTCATGAACATCAGGAGGTGTGGCCACTCCGACAACTTCTTCTTCATTGAGGTGGGCAGGTCAGCGGTGACAGGTCCTGGGGAGTTCTGGATGCAGGCAGAGGACTCGGTGGTGGCGCAGAACATCCACGAAACCATCCTGGAGGCCATGAAGGCCATGAAGGAGCTGTCCGAGTTCAGGCCGAGGAGCAAGAGCCAGTCGGCCAGTACCAACCCCATCTCCGTGCCCACCAGGCGCAACCTGAACAACCTGCCCCCCAGTCAGACCGGCCTGGTGAGACGGTCCAGAACCGACAGCATGGCCGCCTCGTCCCCGGGAACTAAGTACCCGTCCTGTCGGATAAGAACATCCAGCGAGGGCGATGGAAGCATCACCCGGCCTGCGTCCATGTCCATATCTGTGAGCAAGAGTCCCAGCAGTCCCGGGTCTGGGAGTCCACTGAACAGGTGCCTCACTCTCAGTAGTGGGCGAACCTGCAGGATGCTAGAGTCCGCCTCCAACCTTCACCACGGCCGCTCTGTACCAGGGTCCAACTCTCCCCCGGCTGCCTCCAGCCCCATCAGCGCGTCACCCAGAGGAGGGACCGCAGTCTCCACTCCAGACAAAACCAGGCGGCCCTTCAGCTGCAGCGCTTCCATTTCAGGGTCACTCGGCGATGCTGGGTTCATGCTCTGCGACGATTACAGCTCCAGTCCAGGCGAGCCCCGGTTCCTCTGCTTGACTCGGAGCAACACCCCTGACTCTCTGTCCAGCACGCCGCCGTCCCGTGACGCCAGCGACCCCGGCGGATACATGATCATGGAGGGCTCCAACGGCGGCAGGTCCGGGGCCAAAGGTTCGACTTTGGAAAAGGCGTACAGGAAACGGACGCACTCCCTCACCACTCCGCGTCAACAGAAAGTGGTGGCATCATTGTCATCTGCGTCTTTGGATGACTACACACTCATGAGGATGGCCCATGGACAGAACTCCCACTCTGCTTCCCCTAAAGTCTGCTACCCCGAGGACTACGGTGACATCGAGATCGGCTCGTCCCGCAGCTCCAGCAGCAACCTCGGAGACGACGGCTACATGCCCATGACGCCCGGCGTAGCTTCCCAATCCAGCAAGATGGACAACTATGTTCCCATGAGCCCCATGTGTGTTTCTGCTCCGAAGCAGATCGTGAACCCCAGGGCCCATCCCCAGACGGCTGCCGGTGGCGGCTACAAGACCAACTCCCCCTGCAGCAGCTCTCTGGAGGACAGCGGCTACATGAGGATGTGGTGTGGCTCCAAGTCCTCCATTGAGAGCCCCGACAGGCACAGTGAATATATGAACTTGTCGCCCGGGAACCCCCCTCCTCTACAGACCCCGCCCGATTACTTCCTGGGTCCACTCACAGGTGAACCGGCATCCTTTAGACCTGCCTATCAGACTGGATCCCTCACCTTGCCTGCGAAACTTCAGGCGTCCAAGAATGAGGACAGTGGTCAGTACGTGTTGATGAGCCCCCAAAGCTCAAAGAGGTCGGAAGGGTCGGACTACTACTCGGTGATGCACCCCAGCGCAACGCAGACGTCACCTCTGAGCCCCTCTGTGCCCTCTCCACTCAGACACAACCGAGCAGAGAGCCTGGCTTACCGAGGAAGGCTGGGCCGACCCAACCGGCTGTCCTTGGACACCCTGCGGACCCTGCCCAGCATGAACGAGCACCCGCTCCCTGGAGAGCCCCGGAGCCCCGGCGAGTACATCAACATTGACTTTGGGGGAACCGGATCCTGCACCGTGTCCACAGAGAGCCAGTCTTCGTCTCTGGGCTCCAGTAGTGGCGGCGAACTGGGGAGGTTGTCTTTGACAGACTACATCAACCTGGACTTGGGCTCACACTCGCCCAAAGAGGCAGATGCTCCCGCTGAGAACCTGGACGCTCTACCAGAGTTCCCCTCATGCTCCTGCTCAGAGGAGGACGGGGTGTACCACGAGGAGCGGGAGAAAGGCCTCGGCAATGAAGTCAAAGATGACTACACTGAGATGACATTTGGGCGGGCCAGCTCGCCGCCGCACCTCGTACCCCAGAACCCAACAAGGTTTGTGCCAGAGCCTGCATTGTACATCAAATTTTAACTCACATTGATAAAAAATGTATGACGGATTTGATTTTTATTTTTCAGCAGTCAGAGCAACAGGGAGCGGCGTCTGTCCCATGAGGACCAAGGTGTCCCAGACCACATCGGGGTCTTCCTCCTTGGCGCCCCCTCATCCTCCAACCCGGACTGCTCCGCCAAGGTCATCCGGGCCAATCCTCAGGGGCGGCGGCGCCACAGCTCTGAAACCTTCTCCTCCACGGCCACGGTGACCCCGGTCTTCCCCTCGTTCGCCCGCCAGGACGCTGTGAAGAGACCCAGCTCGGTGGAGAACATCTCGTCTCGGAGCAGCGAGTGCTCCGACGAGGAGTTTGGCAGCCCTGTAAACCGCCATGGCTCCAGCGGTTATGCCGGTGGACTGAACTACATCGCCTTGAACCTGCTGGACAACAGAGACGTGGAGAAATGTGGCGACCTGATCGGGTTTAAACCTGCCAGCAGCTGCAAAGGGGGCATCAACGGATTACACAACATGCCGTACGTCTGTTTGGGCTTCAAGGAGGCCGCAACCACCGCCAAAGGTGGGTGGAGCTACTTAAAAATTCATGTAAATGTTTCTTTTAATGGTTAGTTTACCTTTTTTTTGAGCAATTTAAGGAAACTGATTCTGCACAGTAGTCCAGATGGAGGGAGGGGTGTAGAGATGAAAGTGTTTATCTCTGATTCCTGATTGGCTCTGTGGTTTTTTCAAATAAGTAGGTGTTGCCTTCAGAAGCTCAGAGCTTTTGCCGTCAGCCGCTTTTGTTGCTTTAAATAACATTTGTGATTAATCAGCGAGCGCAGGGAGCCGTGTGCAAGCACAGAGGAACGCAGGTCACACGGTGTGCTTTTTTCTTGCCGCATTCAGGAGCCTCTGCACGGCGCGAGCGTTTTATTTCCCAGTGCACTTGAATGCAGCATGGAGCTGCTGAGGAAACGTGAGCAGAGGAGTAAACAAGCTGGAGCTGCAGTGAGCTGAGGTTGATATGGAAATGAGCAGATAGGGCTTTTCTGCTTGTTTTTTTTTTGTTTTTACTTGGGTGGGGGTAGCCCTCATCCCCACCATCCTGACACCAGTAACCACATCCCAAAACAGCAGTTTCGACCGCTGTGCCAGGTTTGACCTTCTGACCCGGGGGGGATGTAGAGCGTGCTGGCAGGCACTTAGAGGTTTGGGGGAAGGAGGCTGTAAAGGGTTGAAACCCCGACGTGTGAGGCTCACTACAGTTGGTGCGTGTGCGACGTGACACAAAAGACAGCCAAAAGAGGCAACATTTGTGAATTTTAATACTTTCTCTGCACGCTAGAGAAGTGACTTTTATTACCTGCTGGTGAATCCTAACATCTAAATCTGGTTTGAGGTTTCTTCTTTAAAATGACGTCAAGAAATCCTAATTAAAACACACAAAAAAGGGAATAAAACAAATTTTCCAGGGGTCTACTCAATTAGCAGGACCTCTCATAATATGAGGATGATCCAAGTCAAGGGTGTCCAGTCATGGTCCTGTGAGGACCACTATCCTGCATGGTTTTTATCATTTTTATAACAACTCTTTTTTTCAAAAAGTAAAGGGTTTAAAAGAGATACTACTTTATAACTAAAGTAGAATCAAATTGCAGCATGTTAGCATGACAGCTTTTGTTTGGTTTGTTGCTGTTTTCTTTACTCGACAATGTAAATGTAGTCCTTCATTTTTCCGGAGAAGCCTGAGAACCGTAGGAACAAAAACAAAACAAGTGCCATTTGTTTGGCTAACCATTAGCCTAGCCTAGCCTGGCCTGATCAAAGACTTTTGCCCCTTTCTCCCTCCGAACACAGCTGATTAAACATAAATTTTTTATATTTGTTAAGAAACACAACTTTAGAGTTGAGAGGACTAACCCTGTAATCCCAAACAAATCAAAACGTATACTTCAGTTCATAGCTACGCAAGCTAAATGCTAAATGTTTGCATTAAGCTACATTTAATGTAGAATCTAATGCAAACTCTAACTCAAAACAGTTTCAACAAGTTTAAGTTCAGATTGACTGTAAAAATCTGAGTTTAACGAGTTTTTGAAACCAGTCTGTGATGCTGAGCTCTAAGCCACGCCCACTCTCCTCACATGACTTCTCGTTCAAGCTAGTAAAAGCTAAACCTTTAAGAAAAATAAATAACGAACCAAACAGCAGCAAGGTAAAATGAAGTGAATCGACTCGAATTACAAGGTGTAGTTTTATTTTTTAACTAAGGTCAGGTCTTGTTTGTTTACACACAAGGGGAGGGGCTTAGAATGTGGACTTGATCCAACTTACAGGACACAGGTCCAGTTCTGGCTTCAACATCCAGGCACATATTAGATGTTCATTGTTTGTTGTTGTGATAGTCCACACTTTTAGCTGACGTTTGGATTTCATTCTCGATGAAATCGTACCTCATCGTGAGTTTTTAATCACCACTTCCTGTTAGTTTAGAAGGTTTTAGATTTGGAACATTTCCCGTCAAAAACAATCAAAATAACAGCCATCAGATAACTGCAGGTTGAAGTCTACATTCCTGAGGAGGCTGGTTTGAACCAGAAAAGACCCGACTTTGTTGTTCTGTTTTGATGTGTTCGGCTCGTTTTAGCTCCAATCGACCAGCTAGAAAATTCCAATAAGAGCTTTTATTCTTTGATTTAGTTAGCTGTGTTGGCCCCCGTCTGTTCCGTCTTCTGTGTGAAAATATTTTTATGGAGCTAATAAAGCTCAGAACAGATGAGAGGAGAAGAAAAGTTGAGTTGATGCATGTGGACTGTTGCACGTACGCAGGCCGAGCTGTTTTTCTTCTTCCCAGTGGTGAGAAGAGGAGCCTTTTAGTGGCTTGTTTTGTTTTGCAATCTGAAGGGGGGGCGGGGCCAGCGAGTGCATGCTCGGTGGGGGCAGGATGGCACGTGCACGTTGCTGCTCTTCTGCCTCGTTAGGCTGTTCACTTAGCAGAAGTAAAACAAGCTGAGGAGGAGGGGGAGGGGCAGCTGCCACTGCTGAGGTGCATCCTGGGAACTTGAAACATTTGTTTACCGAGAGCTCAGATCCACTGATGCTGCAGCGAGGCGAAAGAGGTCAAAGAGCACAGCACCGTCAGCCTGGGGCTTAAGGTTCTTGACCCGGAACACCTTTTACTAATGAGCTAATTAGTCAGGACAACTCGCTAACCTTAACCAAACCGGGCAGGTTGTGTTTACTTTTATTTCCCGCCTAAAGTCGGCCCAGACATTTACCTGTTGCTGTTTTGTCCACGTGACTCCCAGCGGCGGCGGTGGTCATCTCTATTAGCAGCTCAGCTAGGTGGACGTAATAATGTACCAGAACCTGGATTAGCCGAGTCAGCCGTCTCCGTTTTCCACCTCCCCGTCCAGCTAATACCTTTCTACCTGACGCCGGCGACGTTTTGAGAAGCCAAGGTGCTGCAGGTCAGCCCATCTGAATACTATGCTTTCAATTTTAGCTAACAAATCAGAGACAGGCTGGACGGACTACACAAACCCTCCATGTGGTTTAGCATTTCGGGTACTATCATTTACATTGAGGGCAGGTACTGCAGTGTTTCTGCAGTATTTATATAAATATTGTAAATTAATATTAGACGTTTGGAGGCATATAAATGATAAAACTGATGCTCAAATATCCAACCAGGAAGTGTGTGAGAGGCTGGGGGGGTTAAACACCTGCTCTCCATCTTCACTCGCATTCAAACTCTCTTATTCCTCTCATTTCTCTGCTTCGTGCACCTCTCTGTGCACTGAAACGTCACTGTGCACTCACTGCCCCTTCGTTAATGATGGACCACCATCTGCTGCGTCCGGTGTGTGTGTGTGTGTGTGTGTGTGTGTGTGTGTGTGTGTGTGTGTGTGTGTGTGTGTGTGTGTGTGTGTGTGTGTGTG